TCGGGGAAATACCTAACAATGGAGAAGGCGCGGAGAATGAATTGAATGGACTGGAGTTGATCGAGTGGCATGGCTCGTCCATGCAGACGTGGTCCATCTTAGTGTTACTTCATATCTTCTATTCATATTAAATATATTGTTCTTTCTCTTGCCTAACCTTGTTCCTCATCATGTATTGGTAATTGATACGATACAGTGAGTTGGTGTAGTCGATGGTGTGACTTCCACGTAAGATCTTATAGATTAGGCAGTTATATCATGACAAATCGACAAGTTTAGGATTAGGTTTATTATTAGAGCAGTACTAATATCATAGTAGATCATGATCCTACAGGTTTGCGTAAACCCACGTTGAGGTAAACGTACCTTTTGCCATACGTAGCGATCGGTTTTCCGTTTGCCGCCTGTTAGTTTAGAGCCGATTCTTGAGGCCGATCGTTGGGATTCGCCGGGAGAACGCTAACTTCTGCGTCAGTGTCGACGAGGTAGCGAACTCTCGTTATCACATCTGTTCGCCGGCTACGGTTGCCGTTAACGCGTGCCGGCTTGGAAGTCTCCCGAAATGTTTTTCGTGTAGGGCGATTTTGAGCCTGGAAAACTGAAGGGTTTTCTGCAATTTCTGGAAGACTTTCTATATGGGTTATGATATCGGTACCAGTCGGGGTTATCCCCCTCTCGAGGCCTAGAGGCAGATCGCCTACGTGAAGTGTTGTAGAATTATGGTCTACTATGATATTAGTGCTGCTCTAATAATAGACCTCATCCTAAAATTGTGGATTTGTCATGATATAACTGCCTAATCTATAAGATCTTACGTGGCAGTTACATCATCGTCTACACCAACTCATTGTATCATAGCAATTACCAATACATGATGTAGAACAAGCTTAGGCTAGAGATAGGGCAATATATTTAATATGGTTAAAAGATATAAGATAACAGGGACTATGCCTGCATGGCCGAGTCATGCCATTCGATCAACCCCAATTCATCCAACTCATTCTTCCCGCCTTCTCCCTCGTTCGGTATTTCTTCGCATTAAATATTGAATATATATTTTCCGACTTGTCTCGTGTTCAGCTTTGAGGATTGTGTGGTTATGGTCCAATGCCACCAATGCTTCTTCGAGAGGTGTGTGACCGTTTACGGTCATTACGAAATCGCAGATTACGTGTCAGCGAATCACATAATTCCGTAATGTCATTATAGGTCGTTTGAAGTTTTTCCTTGACTGAAAAAACCTGGGCATTAGAAGTTTTCGTGGTTTCAAAGATGTGGTCGCCAGATGCAGCCAGCTCGTCTGTGACGTCGTTTTGAAACGAGACCAGCACAGCTTGCACTTGTTGAGGACGTTTGGTTAGGAAAAGTTGTTTGAATAGGCCATCATTAAGGTTCTTTGGCCGATAACCCCTCTCATTCTTTGCAACGTGTCTGTCGCAGAACCGTGTTGCAGGTGAATGTTATTAAGGAGTTTGTCTAACCTTTGTCGACCGTTTAGGTCGTTTAAGTGTTTCGTCGGGTTCAGAAACATCACCAGTGAACATACTAGGCGCTACGTACCTGTTGAATTTGCGTGGTAGTGCCTTGACTACTGCGAGGAATTGTACACGTGCGTCGCTCACGCCGTGCTCGTAGAAGTCGGCTTCTGCGTAAAAGAACCGGCCTTCGATGTTGTCTGGACAGAAGGGCGTCAGTTGGAACGAAGGTGGAGACATAGTCTTTAACTTAAGTACCTTGGGTGTCTGTTCAGTCATGGTAAAATATCAAGTACGAGAATAAACGAGTGAAAAAATATATATATCCCAAAACACGGAAAAAATATCATCATACTTAAAAAATAATTATAAAGCAATAATATACAGAATTCTAAAAAGGAACAGACTCACAGTTTGCGATTTGGTGTACCAGATCGCGTTAGGCTCACCAACGAAGATGCACAGGTATTTGGAGTTTAACAACGCTTAGACCAGTAACAACTAATATGAATCATGCTCACCAAGTGAAATCAAAAGACAGAAGCGAGGAAGTTCGAAGATATATTTGATAGGCTATTAATATATCCATAGCTTCAGATCATCACCTAGTTGTAGCCAATTTAAAACTGGAGCTAAAAAAGAACTGGACAACTGGACAAACAGCAATACAAGGGTTTAATACAGCCTTCCTTCGAGATACTGACAGACTCAATGAATTCAAGATAGCTCTCAACAACAGGTTCCAAGCCTTACAAGATCTACTGAAGGGAGAAGAAACTACTATGGAGGACAACTGGAAAGGTATCAAAGAAGCACTAACTTCAACGTGTCAAGAGGTTCTGGGTCTAAAGAAACACCATCATAAGGAATTGATCTCTATAGAAACACTGGACAAGATCAAAGAAAGGAAGAACAAAAAGACAGCAATTACCAACAGCCAAACACGAACAGAGAAAGTCCGAGCACAAGCTTAATACATAGAAGCGAACAAGCAAGTGAAGAGGAGCAATATAGTCGACAATAAGAAGTACGTGGAAGAACTAGCAACGACGGCGGAAAAAGCTGCAAGAGAAGGAAATATGAAACAACTTTACGATACAACGAAGAGACTAGCAGGGAATTACAGTAAACCAGAGAGGCCGGTCAAAGACAAAGAAGGCAAGCCAATCACCGAAATTCAACAACAGCGGAACAGATGGGTAGAGTACTTCGAGGAACTCCTGAATAGGCCGGCTCCAATGAATCCACCGGACATCGAAGCAGCACACACAGGTCTTTTTATAGATGTCAATCCACCACCGACGGAAGAAATCAGAATGGCCATCAGACAAATCAAGAGCGGGAAAGCAGCATGACCCGACAATATACCAGCTGAAGCACTGAAGTCAGACATCGAAGTAACTACAAACATGCTTCACCCTCTATTCAAAAGGATTTGGGAGGAGGAACAAGTGCCGATGGACTGGAAAGAAAGATGCTTCATCAAGATTCCAAAGAAAGGAGATCTGAGCAAATGTGTAAACTACAGAGGCATCACACTACTGTCAGCATCAGGAAAAGTTTTTAACAGAGTGTCGCTGAACCGGATGAAAGACGTAGTAGACGCCCAACTTCGAAATCAACAAGCTGGATTCCGTGAGGATCGATCGTGCACAGACCAAATTGCGACACTACGGATCATCGTCGGACAATCAATTGAATGGAACTCAAGAAGATTGTCAACATCATCCGGAATTCATACGACAGACTACAGTGCAAGGTCGTGCATAGAGGACAGCTGACAGATGCATTCCAAGTAAGGACCGGAGTCAGACAAGGCTGTCTACTCTCCTCCTCTTTCTTCTGGTGGTCCATTGGATTATGAAGACCTTGACATCTAAGGGAAAACACGGCATACAATGGACAGCTCAGAATCAATTAGACGATTTGGACTTCGCAGATGACCTAGCCCTCCTGTCGCATACCCATAAACAAATGCAGATAAAGACAGCCAGTGTAGCAGCAGTCTCTGCATCATTAGGCCTCAACATACACATACACAAGGGGAAAACCAAAGTCCTCAAATTCAACATGGAGAACAACAATTCAACCACTCTTGATGGCGAAACTCTGGAAGATGTAGAATCCTTCACATAACTGGGAAGCATCATCGATGAACAAGGAGGCTTAGATGGAGACGTAAAGGCAAGGATTGGCAAAGCAAGAGTCGCATTCCTACAGTTGAAGAACATATGGAACTCAAAACAACTTTCAATCAATATCAAAGTGAGAATCTTCAATACCAACGTCAAGGCAATTTTATTGTATGGAGCTGAAACTTGGAAAGCTACAACAACCACCATCAAGAAGGTACAAGTATTTATAAATAGCTGTCTTCGCAAGATACTTAACATCCATTGACCTGATACCATCAGCAAAAGCCTTTTGTGGGAGAGAACAAATCAGCTTACAGCTGAAGAAGAAATTAGAAAAAGACGATGGAAATGGATAGGACACAGAGTACGCAAATCATCAAACTGCATCACGAGGCAAGCCCTTACCTGGAATCTTGAAAGGAATTGAAAAAGAGGAAGACCAAAGAACACATTACGTCGGATAATAGAAGCAGATATGAAAAGGATGAATAACAACTGGAAGGAGCTGGAAAGGATTGCCCAGGACAGGTTTGGGTGGAGAATGCTGGTGAGCGGTCTATGTTCCTTCACGAGGAGTAACAGGAGTAAGTATGTAAGTAAGTAATCAATATATCGAGGATCGTCCCATCTAATCTGGCTAGCGATTGCAGGGTTTGTTTGGCACGGCGTTCCCACTCGTGATCTGGTGTGGATGCATGACCGAGTGCCTTCAGCTAGTTGAGTCCATTGAAACTAATGTGGTCAGCATCCAATGTCGAAGACTTACACAGCTATTTATTTTGGGGATATTGTTAACGGCGTTAAAGGTACTTTTAATTGACATTTTGAACTATAACCATATCTCTCCTTGTATTACTTCACTTCATTGAACATAAATGTGAATCACTAAATAAGTTCGAGGGCTCAAGTCAAAACATTACGAAGAGCGTGTTAGATCACTAACAAATCTGTGCACATTAAAGTATAGGCGACTCGGGAGTGGCTTTTTAATAACTGTAAAGTCCTTAAAAAGCACTCACAGAACCTAACTACTAACACAGACTTTGATAGCAGTACACTGAAACTAAAAGCACAATACAACAAAATGGCTTGCAGGCACGTATACCCTGTACGCATAACCCATTTCTGCAATTCGCTGACAGCCGAACAATCCAAACGACTTTTTAGGGGTTATTCATGAGGAAATTTGATACATTCTTGTGAACTCAGGATAGTATTTCATAAGAATATAGTATCATTTCTGATTTACTCGTTATATGTTATATACTTCCGGTGTTTTAGGATTATTCAACGTAGCTAATTGCTATTTTGAAGCATTCAGTTAACGATTTCTGTTTCAAAAGCAATGGGATTTGAACAATTCCACCTGAAAAGTTCACAGTTGATAAATGTCGAGGCGGAAAAGTGAACTTTGCGCTACGTAAGTGGAGGTCGTAGGTGTAAAGGTCGAAGTGTCGTATGCGAACTAACGAATGAGAATCAAGAACATGGTTCATTGTTGGTTATAAGTCCTAGATTTCTGTTTCTAATTGCAATATTGGAGATGAAGAGAAGTAGAAACGGCGTTTTACACTGTTTAGAACTTTTGAAACGATGAAGAACTCAACAGTGAAATGATGTTGGACCTGTACGCCGCCGTAGGTTGTATATAACAGGCAAATCAACAAAGGTTTTAAATAATAAACACTAGCATCTAGTCGTGGAACAGATTTTAATCTTAAATGGCATTGGATTTCGTAGAACTAATCAGAAAACGTCCATTACATTTTCTCATGAAATCCACTCATTTTTGCGTTATTGCTGACATCAGTTTGTGATGAAAACGGAGATGTGTGGATTTTTAAAAGTGTATTTGGACCCTCATAAGGGTTCGCGAAGACAACACATGTTTGAAGGCGGATTTATGTCGTTTCTCTCATTTTCGAACAGACGAAATTGTAGAAGGTATGGCGAGACTCTAATTTAAGGACGACCTTTGAACGAATCTTAAGTGACCTTGACAATTATTAGCCAATCAGAAGACAGTTGGTATAAAGTGAGAATATATTGTAAGTAAGTAATGAATTACAGTGGATATTCTTCTTTTACATGATTTAAAAACTTGTTAAGGTTTGATAAAGGTTCAGAGGCTCTGAATTCATAATGCATATTATATAGAAACTCGTCCATAGGGTTAGTGGTTAGGGTTGTAGCCTGTAAGTAGACACATCTTCTCTAAAATCCGATGTAAACCGATCGCATGTTAGCACCCTAATCCTAACCTAACCCTAACCTAACCCTAACCCTAACCTAACCCTAATCCTAACCTAACCCTAATCCTAACCTAACCCTAACCCTAACCTAACCCTAACCTAACCCTAAACCCTAACCTAACCCTAAACCCTAACCTAACCCTAACCCTAACCAAACCTAACCCTAACCCCAAACCCTAATCTAACCCAAAAACCCTAACCTTAGCCCTAAACCCTAATCTAACCCTAACCTTAACCTAACCCTAAATCCTAATCTAACCCTAACCTTAACCCTAATCTAACCCTAACCAAACCTAACTCTAACCCCAAACCCTAATCTAACCCAAAAACCCTAACCTTAGCCCTAAACCCTAATCTAACCGTACCTTAACCTAACCGTTAACCCTAATTTTAACCCCAAACCCTAACCCTATGGACGAGTTTCTATACAATATGCATTATGAATTCAGAACTTCTGAAACTTTATCAAACCTTAACAAGTTTTTAAATCATGTAAAAGAATATCCACTGTAATTCATTACTTTCTTGTAATATATTTTTACTTTATACTGTCTTCTGATTGGCTAATAATTGAAATTGCTCAAACGCTTCTCATTGGCTCGTCCCTAAATTATAGTTTCGTCGTCCCATCTGTTGTAACTTCTCATTAATCACCTACTCTCTAAAATCCGCTTTGAATCCATTGTATGTTAGCAGCGCGTGTTGAACTTGGCTCCGTGACCTTGAAATTGCTCAAACGCTTCTGATTGGCTCGTCCCTAAATTAGAGTCTCGCCGAAGGTATTGTTTTTTCTACAAACCATTCATTTACGGAGTTTGTTTTGTAGTAGAACTGGCTAGAAATTTGTCAGTTATTTGAAGCGTGTCCGCTCATTGAATTCACTTGTGTTTACTAATGAACCCCCAAAATCCCATCGAACTCTACAGACTTTAAATGTCTGCGTTTGGTCGTGTTTGTCCCATTTTTTCCCTTGTAGCTTACTAACTAAATTTAATATTAATTCGACTCTAAACTCACTGTAATAATAATGTGGTCTTCTATTTTAGTAATTTTCAATAATCTGCGCTGCAGAGTTAGAACAGTTAATGTAGGATTCGTGCATAGTTTCACCTCAAACAGGAGTCGAACATGTCCTTAGTCAATATTTTCATGGTGACTGGCGTTTTATGTGCCAGAACTAAATAATATTAGAGATATGAAGATAGATTAAAACATTTTTCGACTTTGACTCCTCCAGTCATACTACTACATTAATGGCGAATTCTCCAAGATAAGTCAAGCAGTAAAATAGGAACTTATGCATTGATGGAAAGTAGTATGGTTATGAGCAGTGGCTAATCAGTTGTTAACCCCAGGTTTTTGTTAAGGTTGCTATTTTTTGATGTTGGTACTTTTTGGTATTATTTCAAAAGGCTGGATATTGGCATAAATCGAAATTATGTCGATTGCATTGCTTAGAATAACACGACTTCAGTCTGACAAAAGTTTTGTAAGCTATATATCAGTTCCACTTATTATATCTCCAATTAGCATAGTGGTATAAGATTATTGACGTAATCAGTAGTAGTGCACTAAAGAAATTGAGAATAAAACAAGCAGTGGAATGTTAGAAAAATATGACATTTATGACTTAAATGAAAGTAAAGGATGTGTGTGCATATCGTAAATTTAGGCAAAGCGGTTAGCGTACTGTTTCCCAGCTGCTATGTATGGATCCAGACAAATCACAAGACTAAGCCGTGTATTCAATCACTGAAATACTTGTACCATGAGTGTCAGCACCATTTAAGTTGTTTGTAAAACCGCATCCACTCAGCATCAGATAACAGGACTGTGCCGTTTGTATAATTTAATTCGACGAGATAATTCTGGATCAAAAATTAGCCGTCATAAATAATATGCTTTTTCTAGAAATACATGTATGGCAAAGTTTTGTTAGTATAAAATTGAATTACACTAAATAACACCATTTAAGTAGAAATTTCAAATGATTGCTCACCGTTAATATAGAGATTTAGCCAATGTACGATCAAAACATGATTCCTGTTTATGTTTCCTTATTTCGTTGTTACTGAGCCCCATTTAGGCGTTGCATAATTGTAATATCTAAGATCTCAAAAGCCAAGTTCACACTCATACATTAATTACATGCGTTTTCTATAAAATGAGACAATTACTAATAAAGGCAAGTCATTTAAAATCACATTTGTCTCCCAAAATCTTATTCGCATCTCAGTTTGTCAAATAATCATAGACCATTTTTGTAGTCAACTCAGTGATGTCTGCTACTTTCCATCCCTTCAAGTCATTTATAACCCTAGCGTTCTAGGTGCCCTAAAAGATTGCTAATAAGCGTTAAACAGATCTCACAGATAATCTTACTAACATCAAGAATAAGTTAAATAATCTTATCTTCGACAAATATAGATTGTATCCTTATATCCATACATTCAGTCCTTGCTAAGGCGTTGTCGAATTTCCGTAAAAAAACCTACATTATCTTATAGTCTACTGGGGTGGGTTTACAAGCTCGAAAAGTTATAAAAAACCTACTAAAACCAAATGTTTACGAGCCGGAATTTCACGTAATCGTAAGTAATATTACTCAACGTCTTTTGTGCTGCTGTATTCGTGCGACCGAGCCTCATTTACATTTAGTAGACTTAACGGCTATATATATAAGTAGACACTACTTCTAAAGTTAGGCGATAATGTATCAGTGTACTGATTTTTGTGGACTAACCAAAATGATTGGAGCAGGGGGAATTATATGTTATTGATTCTAAATATGAAGGTTCAGACTCATTTCCTGTTGACCTAATCGTTTTCAGTATTCTTATCGAAATTTGGTGTTTTCTTGTTCAAGCCTTATACGCTTTCCTGACTACAAGATTTTGGATTAGTTTTTGCTTATGTTTCCTGAAAGTCGGGTAGTTCAAGTGTTTTTTCAAGTCGCCTTTGAGGGAGATGTTTCAACCAATACTTTACCGATTGCTTTTCCACACTATCATACTTATGTAAAACTAACAGAACGATATCGTTTTTTCCCTTTACAGCCACTCTTCGTTCGTGGTCCGATTTATAGTGCCAAAAATCCTGCCTATCAGAAAACGCTTATATGATTATACTTCTAATTTTTCATTGACCAAATAAAATTTCTAGTCAATTGTCTCCATGTTTTCTAGAAGTTTACGTTCTGAAACACGCAGCAGAGCCAAAGAAGACCTAAAAAGAGTTCACAAATCACATGAACAGGTTCGAAGCTGGTAAGATATTTTCCATTCCGCTCATTGTCTTTCTAATTTCAATTTCCGCTGTAACAAAACCCTAGTAGTATGTTTCAGTCCCTTCGAAAATTTTTACGTGGTTTAATTTGTGTAGTTACTGACTTCATAAAAGCCTTTTACAGATTGTAGACATATTGAGTGAAGTATTCAAAATGATTAAAATCAGTAGTCGTGGATTGCAGTTAGTGCATTCGTAAACCCATCACAACGTCCTTGGTGCATATGTTATTAATCTTATAAAATATAAATATTTCACCAGCATTTAATCATTTTTCTCTTGTTCATTCCTTTTGTAGAGGATCTACACATTTGTTGTGTTTGAATGTCGTTAAACAGTTAAAGTCCTAATTTTAAGAAATCCCTTCCTTCAGTAATAAAGGGGTTCACTTATCCTCCTACCATTTCGAAATGTGTTAGCTTGAAATGTATGAAGAGCACCTCAACTATCTCAAATACTATCATATAGCAAGCTCACTAATTGACTCACCTATTTACTGTCCATCTCTATATAACTGATTTCACCATATACAAACGACATGTTTCAAGGATCGCTCATTAAACGGGTATTAAATTAATGTCATTTTCTAATGATTAACACCTTTACAGTAGTCCCTTTAGTTCACGATATATCTAGATATTCTTTTTGACCAACCTTACTTTAGGGAAAAGAAATGGGTCGCTGTCAAGGACACTTCAATGCTTGTTTATAAATGGGTACCTTCTCTTATAATTGATATGGGTCACAGCAAAAAAGGAACATTCAATCGTCAGTCAAGTATAAATAATACATCACATATTTCTTCTGGTATTCTTTCATCGTATTCATGCCAGCAACCTGAACAAGATAATTCTAAAGGTTCAGTGGATACAAATTCAGATAAACTTACGAATCTGAAAAATGAAGACCAAGGTCCAACCGAAACATCACAAGATACAATTCTGTCGGTTACAGGTAAAGACCGTTATCGAATAATCATATTATTACTATTGTGAATTATGGTTTTGACAGCGTATTTAAGTTTTAAATGGTTAGAGACGATCCACAGAAGACTACTGGCTTGGGGCCTATCAACGAGTCGTATTTACGATTTCGAAGAAAACCGGTGTTTCTCTAGAACTCTAAAATCCTTGCTACAGTCATAGATATTACCATATGAACTAACAATGATCTGTAGATTTAATGCGTTTACATTAGTTAGTTACTAAGTAGTAATCAATGTTATGTTTCTTAGTCTTTCCTTAGTTATGTTCGGATTTAACATGAGAGCCGCACATAAAGTTTCTATTTTTCTCTTTTGTTGATGCTTTCACTGTACTTCTTGTTGTTGATTTATATTTTGTATGTTATTATATAAATTGTCAAGTAATGGCTTAATGGTTAAGAAACTTGTGTGTATCAGTAGCTATCACATATAAAGTATGGTACACGAATCTGTACGTGTTAAAAAAGGTAATTATATATATAATTATTATCCAAGGATAAGTCCATTTTTTAATCGTTCTTGCACTTATGATCATTTAGTTGGTACCATATTTTTATTTTACCTATAAAAGTTCAGTGCTATGTTGTAGATTTATTTGCTTTAACAGTCCAGTGATACTATCAACCGATGCTGATTCAACCCTCAGATTCATGCTTCGGTTAATTCTGCCGTCATCAAACGTTATTACCGAGTGCTTCAAGTTTTATTTCTGAAAACATTTTACTAACTAAAATAAAGTGTTATAACGTACATTAAAAAGAAGAATATATTTGTAAAATCTCAGCGAATGAATTTTAAGTAAATCCAACGTTTCGCCTGGCAATCTGGTCCAAGCTTTTTCAAGGAAAATATAATCAAACAACAAAATTATCGAATATTCGATAATTTTGTTGTCTCAAATTAACTCGGCGCCCAAATATTGTGAAACTATTCGTTCAAATTTAGACGAAAGTTCTTATTTGTTATAACGTACGATACCCCAAAATTTGATATTGATACCCAATCTTCCTATACATCAGCCCGACCGACTACTCGATTGAGAATACTGAGAGTGAAAAAGGAAATTTATTGACTAACCAAACTGGCATGTGTGTATACTCCAATGTCATGTCTCATTCCCAGGAAATGTATCCAGTTTCTCGGCCAATCGCGTCCACTTATAATCTGGCCGATTTTTGATTGGCCCAATATAGCGCTTTCTCTCCTGAAAAATTTGTCTGGTTCCTCTTATTCAGCTAAAGGCATTGGAGAAGCGCACATCATCAAGGCTGATGGAGAATTTTTCGTAGCTCAGAACGATATTGGACGTACTGTATTCCTTGGACTGGATTAAACTAACCACGTCAGAGAACACAATGCCTCCGAACATATGGTATACAATGAACCTGTTTAACAAGCGTGCAGCTGTTAATTAGTTAGCTATATTATAGTATCTGAAGGAACGAAAAGAAAATTCGAATTATGAGACGTGGTTTTCTAGAATTTGTTATAAGTAAATATCGTATTCAAGTACAATGATCCTAATTCGACAATATTATCAATTCTAATACGAGTAAAGAAATATTGTCTATAAATATGTGCTGAAGAAAGTTCAGATGTTTTAATCTATTTTAACTCCAGAGCTGACGTAACAACGTTTTTATGCTTTCTATCTCTCCTACGTTCTCACTTATCTCTTTATAGTTGTTATATCCTAGTGAGGATTAAATTGTAGATAACTTCTGAGATCTGTTTATGGACTAATATTATACATATATTCTTATTGTATAACTATTGAGTAACTAGATTATGTATGTTCATATTCCTCTTATTATAAGCTTTATTTTGACATAGGCTATTATTATATGATTTACTGTTCTCAATTGATGCCCAGTTTATTAATTAGTCTCCCACAATCGCAACCACTTTTCGACTTGATCTATTTTGTGGTGCGATGTGGTCTATTTGGTTTGTATATGAACCAGGTATGTTTGGAATTAATGATTCGTATAATAGGAGCTGGTATTGGTGTTCTGGTCTCAACTGGCAGAGCTAGGCAGGGAAAAGGACCAATAAGGACGCTAGGCTGTTCATACCAGTCGACACGTTACTGGTTTGGCTTAATGTTGAGATTGTATAAGTCATATTCTGATTGGCGAGCAAATCATGTGATATTTAACCGGGTAAAAGTCACAACAATATTTATTTGACTTACCTTAGTTTTCAAACAAAAATGCTTCTGCAAGTATGTTTGATCAAATTTTCGGAAATGTGTCACTCAAATGCATTGCGTTTTACTAACCAACCTTTTCGAAAGTGATCAGTTGTGTCAAAATTTTTATTTTACCCTAGAAAATTACTTACCCCCTCGTTATACTATATGGTTATTTTGTAACTTAAATAAGTTGTGACCTCAGACTTAAGAGTGGTTTCACTTCGCGACTGTAGAGTCACGAAGTTATGGAATATTTTTTTATTAGTTTAACATATATTATCATCGTACTTTTATTGAAATAATGATAAACAGAAATACATTTTCGGTATTATTTACAGATGACATGTGCTCTCAAAAAACATCTCATGTGGATACAGAAAACAATAACAGTCAAGAAGCTTCACTTGATGAAAGCAATGACATTATCATGTCATCTGAACAAAAGTCCAATTCATTGGATAATACTATTGACGACACTGTTATTTCAGAACCGATTTCTGTTAAACCTGAGATTGATGAAGATTCAACCATTGTTATTGAAAATGACAGTATTGTTAATAATAACAGTAATAATAATGATGATCGAAATGGAGTTTGCTAAGTTATATACTTCGTATTGATTTTCTGTGTATATGTTTTATTTACTAGTAACATTTTATAATATATCTCAAACAATCAATGATCTTTTGTAAATCTCTTGAGGAAGAAAAATAGATGATCAATTTTTCGTTTATTCATTTTTCTTTTCTTATCTAGTATGTGTAACTTAATCTGTATAGATTTAGAAAATCGTTGAGTGAAAACGAGTTACAAACTTTTCCATTCGTAAGATATACCTAAATAGAATGTTTTACATATTTTGAACTGTTGTGAAACGAATATTGTCAGTGACTTATTCAAGTAAAAAAAAGTGAAATGTATTTATATTGGATGGACTGTCTGTTGTACAGTTCATAACAACTTGTGTAAGCGGATTGAATTCAACTCTCCACATTATAACATTCCGGTCATTTGTTAGTACGTTTTATTTCAACTTGTTGGTAGGTCAAGAGTTTCCAATTTAAACGCTTTGAATTCCAGTTCGTAGATAAAAGCCAGTAAGGATCGCTATCAAGAGCTTTCAAATAAAGTTTATCGAATTTCTTCTTCGGTCCGTTAGGTAACCTTAAGCACTTACTAGCCTTTCAATTTCTCTGATATAGTTAACTAAGACTGTTCGTGAAGGTAAAAAATAACCGTCTACTAGGGCTGAGTTTGGAAGAGGGGGAAGCTCTTTCGTACCTGAACAATATCATCAATGAACAAGGAGGGTCGGATACAGACGTGAAGGCGAGGATTGGCAAAGCAAGGGCCACAGTCTTACAACTGGAGAACATATGGAACTCAAAACAACTCAACCAATATCGAAGTCAGAACCTTCAATACGAACATTAAGATAGTTCTACTGTACGAAGCTGAAACGTGGAAAATTACTACAACCATCATCAAAAAGGTACAAGTATTTATAAATAGCTGTCTACGCAAGATACTCAACATCCATTGACCGGATACCATCAACAACAACCTTTTGTGGGAGAGAACAAACCAGCTTACAGCTGAAGAGGAAATTATGAAAAGACGATGGAGATGGATAGGACATACATTACGCAAATCATCAAACTGCATCACGAGGCAGGCCCTAACTTGGAATCCTGAAGGGAAGCGGAAAAGAGGAAGGCCAAAGAACACATTACGTCGGGAAATCGAAGCACATATGAAAAGGATGAATAACATCTGGGAAGAGCTGGAACGGATTGCTCAGGACAGGGTTGGATGGAGAGTGCTTATGGGCGGCGTATGCTCTTCGACGAGCAGTATCAGGCGTAAGTAAGCATTCATAAACAATTGTCTACAAGATACTCAATACCCGTTGACTGAATATCATCAGCAACAAACTACTGTGGGAGTGAACAAACGAACTTTCATCTGAACAGGAATTTAAGAAAAGACTATGGAAGTGGATAGGACATACATTTCGGAAATCATCAAACTGCATTATGAAGCAAGCACTAGCTTAGAATCCTGAAGGGCAACGGAAAAGAGGAAGACCAAAGGACACACTGCACTAAGAATTGGAGGCAGACTTGGAAAGGATGAACAGTAACTGGAAAAGATTGCCCAGAATAGAGTTGGCGAATGCTAGTGAGCGACCCATGCTCCTACGTGAGGGGTAACAGGCGTAAGTAGGGCTTAGTCTAGATAGTCACCAACAACTATGTATACTGGTTTTTGGAATTCCTAAAACACCAATTGAACTTACTCTTGTTTAGTGTAACCTACCAGCATGCTACAACAAACATATTTCAGTGTTTGGAGGAGATTGGAAGTCGTCCCTTTCCTCTAAATTACAATTGATTCAAGCGCAGATGAAGACTATCAATAGTTGGTGTCTATCCCTGCCTTAACGATTACTTGACACCATTTAATTGAGCCATTCTCAGGAAACTGTCGGCTGAGACTCGATTTCTGTTTTTGAATTCGTTATAATAATTTCGAGTGTGATACTGAAATAAGTTATCGTTAAATCTTCAGCTATTTTAGTCCAAACCTAGGTGAACGATAGCTTTTTGGATCCGATGAATGTATTTTTGAATTTTAGCTCAGTATTTAAGATAGTTAAATGCATGAAATGTGAGCATCTGTTTTGTATTAACCAGATAAATAGGTATCATTAAACACAGCAAAATCATCTACAAATAAAAATTAGCAAGAAGTTAGGACAGTTATAATAACAATTGTGAGTAGTAATTCAATGTTAGCAAACAAGAAAGGTCTCATTAAATATGCCATATTTGAGAGTGAAATCCTCACACTTGTTAGAATATGGTTATGAGGTATGTACTTTACTACAGAAATCATCACAAGACTTCCATTCTAAACTGCTTGAATAATTGATCGTTCGGAGTTAAGCTACTTATAAGTAGTCAAAGAGTTTTCACATTATTACATAATATGATATAAATATCTATTTTAAATTATTTTCACCGTTTTTAAGTGAAGATGTAGATTCACTAAAATTAACATATAATTTGATGGAAATGTTGACGTCTTGTTTGTATATTAAAATCAAATTAATATGAGCTGCAAATGTCCAATCGAGATAAGATTGTGAACTTAATAACTTTCCTCTGCTTTTTTACAAAATATTCTAGTGTCCAAGAGACAAAATGATTAACTTGATACCAATGAGAACACTAAAGATACAAGCATACTAATCTTTTAGATACTCCAAAGACCGTTACCAATATTTAGAGATCTTATATGTCCATCAACAAAACAAAATAAATAAAAAATGTAATGGATGTATACGCCCACATATTATGATCATTTACTGCTCTTAACGGCAAATAGTTGGTTATTTTCACTTCTATGCAATGCAAATGAGTGGCCTTTGGACCAACTTTCTCTTGTTTAAGTGTTTTTATCTCATAAAAACAATTATTTCCTTATAAAGACTTAGTAGGCTTTAGAATATACTAAATACTTTATGAGTATTTTGATGTTGAACTGTTATTATTGACAACCTCAAGTGATTTTCATGAAGGATGACAGCTAAAAATCTATATTTTGGAATATGAAAACACTAAGAAAAAACTGTACAAATCAGTAATAATTCCCACTGGGATAAATGACTGACAAAATCTTCAAATAAAAATTGTTTATTGGAATCCGATCATGTGAGGAATTCAGGAAACTAGAGTTTGTACATTTTTAAAAACAAAATATTATTCACTGCTTATATTTAGGTCAAATGATAAAACAATTGTGTTAAGCCAATCTTTGTTGGTCAGAATAATTAGAATACTTAGGATAGTAACTCTTGATCTCGACAGACGGTTTAAACACCTGTAATTCGTGTTAGAAATACGAAAAATTCGTATTTAAAAAAGCTTTATCTAAGTGTACTTACACAAATCTAACTTGAAATTGATAGGTTTGTCCCGTTGTAACTATTTCGACTGAAATTTGATCAGTCTTGGTTAGGATTTATGCATTCTGTGTGGGTGGCATAGACATAGCCGTTGTGACACAAGCTAGGATAGAATAGATTAAATTTAGCTAGGAGTAGAATCCATGATGCGCACTTCATTCCATCTAGGACTCATCAGCTGGATGCATCTTCATTCCAGAGCTGATGTTCACCCTGGAACGTGAACCCGGCACCGTCCACTTCAAATGCCAAGGCGTTATCTATTTAGCTACTGAGTCAATTCTGTTCTAGTGCTGATCAGATTCTCTGGATTTCCGAAGAAGATTTACGGTACGATGTGTTCAAAAATAAAGTCCCAGACCATTTGATTTAATTCCGGTTATCCTGAAACCCAGTGATTGATGAAATAAGATTTCCGGACAGTTGGATATGGATAATTGTTTAGACTGATGTCTTGCAGAGGTATTGATTTATAATAAGAATTATCATTTATATTTCTAAGCTTAAATAAATTTCAAGTTTCTTTTCATAGTTTATTTCAATTAAATAAATTACTTAACTTATTATGACATATCCTAACCTTTAATATCAGATTAAATAAAATGAAAATTATGATTTATTTTATTTTATTTAAATAAAAATGATGATTATAATTATTTATATTTTTTTAAAAAAATAATTGTTATTGATTTGTCTAAATAAACTGATTTTCTAACTTATTTAGTAAAACAAAAGTAAATGAGAAAGAGTAAAGTGGATGCGCACTGCTGTGGAGTCCCACAACAGAATGAAATGGCCGTCCAGTGCTTCCAGATTTCCAATAGTGGTATAACATCAATCGGCTCATGATCCCAACCAAAAACGTAATAATCTTTACAACCCCTATAATGATGACTAACATGTGCTCACTAGTGACTAGTTTCATGAGGGAATTCTCGGAGTTCTAGTGAGAAGCCGTGACCAGTGGAGCTAATCCGTGTTGTGGTAGAGATAGGCATCTACCTCAGTACGATGGAAGATGGTCATGCAATTTCGTGGATTGGTTGATGTTAGACACTTACACGATTGGATGCCGGCTCAGTGGTCCAGTAGGTTGAGCGTCCGTGCGCGAGTCTGAATGTTCTGGGTTCGAATCCCATGAGCGGGATCGTGAATGTGCACTACTGAGAGGTCCCACAATAAAACGAAACTGCCGTCCAGTGCTTCCAGGTTTCCAAAGGTGGTGGTCTAACATCAATCGGTTCATGATCTCAATCAAAAAATTATTATTATACTTACGTTAAATTGAACGAAATTCATTGAATCTGAATGATGTCATCTCTACATGTGCTTTATTAATTATTATATTTTTTTAAAACAAAAAGAATTGTTTAATGGGTATACTTTAAGAATTAATTATTTCCTTATTAATGAAATTAAATGATTAAGGTCAATCTTGGAGTTTAACATAAACAAAACAAAAATAAATTTAACGGAAAACGTTTATATGAGCTCAAAATTGCATAGGATAAGTGTTGATGTGTGTGTGTGTGTGCGTGTATATATATAAGCATGCGTAATGTGGTTGTGTAGTAGTTTCCCCCTATGAAATTTATTTATGATAATTTTATAAGGCAATGATGATAAATGGTGATTTGGCATGGATATCATTATTATTAATGTTTCTAATGATATTTTTAATTAAGTTGACAGGGGTTAACCCAAATTAAGAAAATATTAAATAAAATCTTCATAATTCTATCAAAGAAATACATAGAAAAATATTCCAGCGAAGACCGATATTCAGATGGAAACAATAAACTACTGTCATTAGTATCACTTTACAACAAATAATGAAGAATTGGTTGATTACTTCTGAGCGTTCAGAAGAAC